CTGTAGGATTTCCTTAGCGGTGCTTTGCTGAATTCCTCATCATCGTCCCTGTAGCCAACAAACAACAATAATTTATTACGGAAGCCGGTTTATATTATACAGTACTACAGTACATGAAGGAAAAATAGCCCGAGCAAAGTGACGTAAAATCATGCGGCCATGCTTATGATCGCGCTGCGCGCATCGTAACCACGTGATATCACTCGTCTACGACCATAAAAACATGTAGTCAGTGCTGATTGTTTGAGCGTACCGAGTAAAGAGTAACGCGACTACGCCGGTTTGTTGACAAACGAGGGCTGTGTTATTGGGACGCATGAGTAATAACAATGACCATTATAGTAAGTATATGAATCAAATCAAAATTGAGGTGGGGATAATGGGCTTATAATTAATTACTGTACTTACAAGAGAATCAAAGCCATTACATCACATCCATCAGTTACAAAGCAAAATTTCCCAAGAAACCGATAACGCAATTTTGAAAATCTTATTCAGTAACTATATACGAGTAAATTGTATATCGTTTAGTCTAACGGATGTATACGGTATAGAATATTATCGTTTATTTATGCAACATATTTCCAAGCCAGAATTCTAATTTTATTTAATTAATTATGCTTTTATGGTAATGTCTGTTATGTGTACGAAGTCTGGAGGCCGCAAATGAAAATTTTATGGAAATACATTAATCCCAAGAAACTGGATACCGAGAAAATCATTCTTGCAAAGTAGGCACTTGTACAGCGTCGTGTAATGACTTTTGTTGCAGTCGGAAAACGAGTGCTTCCCGCAACGCGTCCGAGTAACACTGCGGGATGCCCTTGGGCAGCAGAAGATGCAAGTTGGACGTGATAGCGGGATGTCGGTAAATGCTGAAGGGATCTCTTTGTAGCGTACAATTATTTCGGGCTGATACAGCCATTTGCGGTTAGCTGGTCCCGCCGTCTCACTGCTGTACCCCCGCTAATATGTTCCCTGACCTTGAAACCGTAATCGAGGGAGAAAAAAAATCCATCTGACGACATTGTACGGGCTGATCCCCAGAAATATCCCAGGGAAGCTCGCTTTTCAAGTCGCTTTCCAGGTTTGCATTAAAGCTTTGGATGTGCTTTGATAAGACCGCAGACAGTGGAGTATAATGTGCAACCATGTGGCAGCGCCCATTTCAAGTTGTGTATCACAAAGGGAATTGTACGCTTAACTTGTTAAAGTCACTTTGTTCGAGTAATTAACAAAACCCTTTACCCGCAAGTAGTACTGATTTTCGTACTTTAAGATTGAGGATCACAAGCAGACCATATTACCTGAGACTACATAGGGTATTTCCAAATTTACTGAATGTAATGATTATTACCGTCGAATAATTACGGTGCAGCAGCAGCGGTGTCTTTTCCAATAGGTCATCAGTCACATAAAATTAATGCTATTAGGTACTACTAGTGCTGCATCCTGAACAACTTGAGAAACATACGCAATTTACGGCATTCGTCTAATTAAACAAAAAAATTAATAATACTTTTATGGGCACTATTTTCCCGGTTAAAAAGTACATATTTGTGCTAGCACAAAAAACGCATGGAAAGAATAAAAATGGCGGTTAGCGCACAAATTTGTGTTTTACAGGATAAAAACGTAACGATTTAAGGGGTATTGTGAACCATACGTATCACGTGTCACCAAAACGTACGAAAAAAAGTGCTGAAAAGACTATCATTGACACAAAAACTTTTAATAGGGCATATATATATTACTGGTTTCAGGCAGAAGCGAAAAATGTTAAAAAAACTTACAAAATCTGCAGATGTACACCGGAAGTATCGTAATAGTAAATTAAAGATGGTTCGAAACGTATGTTGCTTCGCAAAAATAGATTGCACAGATAGCTCGTTACATTAAGTCATAGTCACTGGTTACCAATTCGCTAATAGGCGCATGTACCTCTCCGGATAGGTTTATACGTTATGTCTGGATACTGTTATATTTCATATTTATTTTGAAAAAGCTTATGCCACGAATTTGTTATACCAAGGTGGAGTGTTCTAGTAATGGACGAAAATATTGTTACCATTATTTAAAAATCTCTGGACTATGACTTCGTATTCTGTTCCGAACAGATATTAACATGTAGGAATTTTTTACAGGTGGTCATTGTTCCCGGATTATGTCACAGCCGTAGCGGAAAATCTTGTAAATGCAGCAAACACATCTATCCTGGACGGTAATTCCACAGTCGATGTACTTGCTGCTTATAGAGGATTCGGAGCTTTTTGGTATAGAACAGCAAAAGAATTCGTTAACTGGTAAGTAAGCAGTACACATAAGTGTTCTGTTGTTGCGTGTGGTTGTATGTACGACAGTACAGATACGTAAGCATATTGTAGTTGCAAGTATGGAAGTATGGCGGTTTGCATTGCTTGTCCGAAAGTCAGACTCCTTTGATCTCTCAATTATTTCGCAGTTAAATGCTCGTAAGCATGCTGGACAGAAGCTAAATGCTATAGAAGTATCGCAGCTTGGCATTGACCAATGAGGAAGTGAGCCATGTCAGCTGGTTCGTGGACCTGATTCAGTTAAGCAACTACTCCATCACATTTTCTGTCTACTTCTTATCCAGTCCGAAATTTCGTCGACAGTGCCAACTACTGCCAAGTGCTGTGTGGCAAAAGAGTCACCTCGGCCCAAACTGATGTCGCGGGTGTATGACCGTGACGGTGCTGTATTTCCAACAATTCAAGTTGAAACGCTATGTAAACTTCAACTTTGTCTTGATTAACTGCCTGGAACACAGTCCGGGAAGCATTGATACGCTTTCGATGAAAGGGAACCCGTATAGTTTACATGTTTCCCATCTGCGCATTTAACCGGCCCTTATTTCTGTCCAGCTAGCTGTAGTGTCGGTTTAATTTTTAGAGCGATGGCATTTCTTCACTGCAGTTTTAATTTGATTGTTTCTTACAGTTAGTTAGAGCTATGCAACGACATTTGTAGTTAACATTATATGGTAAAATAGTGGTGGCATTAAATAGTGATGGTCATGGTTCCGCGCTCCAGAACACCAATGAACACCAAGATACGGCAATATCGATATCTCAAAAATTGTATTGAGGTGTTAACTATTAAAGGCCGCTAATACTGCTTCCTTAAGTTAAACGACATTTTAATTTTGCAAAACTCCTAAAACGTGGCAGTCCATCAACAGTACGAAAGCACATAGAAATCCTCAGAATTTTGTATTCGGTGTGATTAGCCTGCTTTAACACTACGTACTTAAAGTAAGTGCTGTTCTTCAACAAACGAAACTGTTGGACGATGTTATCTACTAGAAAATCTGAGAACTACGTTAATAATTACTGCATAGCATGACTGAGTCAGCAGAATTCAAAAGGTTCATAAAAATGAATTAAAGGGCCTGAAATAAGTGTGCCTATTAATGTAAGCGCGAATCCGGGTAATACTGTACAGAATGCTAAATGCCAATGCGCTTATCTCATTCTAAAGATTATTACACTGGGGATAGTTATAAGGTCCCACACCAGCACTCCTGCTTATCCAAGGCCTGTGCAAATAACAGGCTCACCAGTTTCGCTGCGATAAGCAAAAACATTTCTGTTGGACCGGCTTCACTTCGCATCTGGTACAGGTGGAATCGTCAGTTACATGACATTCCATCGCATTAACGGTTACAATTTTCAGTTTCAACCGGACTATGAAATACTGAATCTGTTGCTCGATCAGTTATAAAGGTCACCGACTAATCTGGATTGCCGTTTGAAAAGCCGATTATGTTGCTGTATTATCTATGCTTTTATATTTTATAAATCGATGGGCTGCCTATTGCATCATCACCAAGGATATTTACTGGTTGCTACTTTTGTGTGTTTCCTAAATAAAAACGTATTTATCGATTAAGTATTTAATGGGATAACCGAGAAAGATATCCTGAAGATCCTGCACAAAGCAGAATCACAATACAGTTTAATGGTATTGGTGAAAATTTTATCATAGGATCGACATGCCCAACCGTACCTCTCGCATCGATGTGCGCTACAACGTTGTGGAAGTATCCTCCATTCTTGTGGTCACGTGGTTCATCTCCGTCTTTACAGTATGTATTATCGGCACAACGTTATTTATAGCTATTTTAACAGCGATTTTGAAAAGTTCTAAACTGCGTAAAGGAACCGGAATTCTCATCATTAACCATTTAATTCAAGAAGTCCTGACATGCGGTTTACAATATCCCATTGTGGCCGTCAAAGTACTGTCAATGCACTTTTTGGGACGCCCTTGTTTGCTAGCTGTGATTCTATGACCTTTCTCTTTGCCTGCACCTTATTTGCTGGACATTGGTCTTTATTATTCCTGGCGGCTAATCGCTTTGTCGCCACCGTTTACCCGCATCAATATCCCAAGATTATGTCACAGAAAACTGTAGTTTTACTGGCGCTTAGCAGCTGGATCATCGGATTTTTGTGTAGCGGTTCGACAACGTCAAATTCTCACAAGGGTGGCAGCTTCTTATACAACCTTACCGGCACCGATTTGCGAATTCTCAATATCACGAAAATGGATTATGAAAACTCGGAGTTCCTAAATGGATTCGGTGACCAAAACGGTCGTTATCTTCTGTCCTCGATTGGAACCTGCGAAGCTGGCACTGCTGAAGACGTCCGCTCGTTAACGCCGTACCTGGCATGCTATCGCAAGCGCACAACGGAAGCCCGAAGCGCCTTTATATGAACTGAGTAGACAGATGAATTGAGAACGAACTTTTGTTTTTAATTGTTCAGCCTACTGACAATTTTCAAAATGCTCGTTTTGGATGTGATTGGTGTAACAGTCGTCTGCGGAAATTCGATATCGATTCGATTCGATGTATATCTTTAGTGCAATGGAATGCAGCTGCACGAGTATCGTTAAGGCAATTGGAAAAAACATTCTGTGGTCGTTCATTCCAAAATCCTCTGAGTACATAACTCGCAAATTTTAATACACCCGTGAAAGTAATCTTTGGTTATTTTGAACAAGAATTTTGTGGAGATTTGAAATCAAGCAAACAGAAGCGACGCAAAACAGAGAAAAGCTAATAATAATTATTACACAATCACCTGTTCACAGTCATCTTATATTGACTTACAAGAAACAGCCTCGGCTTCGCCTCCGCGTTTCTTGGGTTCTAAACTCCTTGGCCGGTTTACGGATTGTTAACATAGAACGGATAAATCTGAAGAGCCCGATAACAAAAATTTTATAAAAAAATGGATGTTTTGGTTTCGTGCAGTCGAACGCAATTACTTTGACTTTACAGATCATTTTTTGTTAAATTTTCTTAGCGGAAAACCATCCGAATCTAATCACCCATGAGAGTATCACATTACAAACTAAAAGGACGCTAAGACTGGACAGTGGTGCTAGATAGGTCACCCATTAAGAACTTAGCAGGCGCTGCTCTATTTTGCTCAGTAATATTGCAGTTTGGTCATACGTTCACCTAACGGGCTCTGTGCACTGGACAGCTTTGGTAGCTCGGTCACCCACCTCCCTAACGGGATCTATGCAAAGGACAGTACTGGTAACTCGGTCACTAGATCACTTAACGGAGTTCGTGCACTGGACAGTAGTGTTAGCTCGGTCACGCGTTCACCTAACGGGCTCTGTGTGCTGGGCAGTATCGGTAGCTCGGTCACCCATATCTTCCTAACGGGATCTATGCACTGGACAGTAGTGGTAGCTCGGTCACCCATCTTCCTAACGGGATCTATGCACTAGACAGTAGTGGTAGCTCGGTCACTAGATCACTTAACCGAGTTCGTGCACTGGACAGTAGTGTTAGCTCGGTCACGCGTTCACCTAACGGGCTCTGTGTGCTGGGCAGTATTGGTAGCTCGGTCACCCATATCTTCCTAACGGGATCTATGCACTGGACAGAAGTGGTATCTCGGTACTCTTTCACCTAAGGGGTTCTGGGCACTGGACAGTGGTGGTAGCTCGGTCACGTACTCACCTAGCAATTTTTTGACGCACTCAATCACTAGGTGAGCCACTGACCGAGCTCAACCTGTCCAGTAAGAAATATCGCTAAGTAAGGAGAAAAATCGCTAGGTGAGGATATGACGCTGCTACAACTACTGTCCAGTGCACGGAGCCCGTTAGGTGAGCGAGAGCAAAGCCCGCTCGATGACTCACTCACCTAGAAATTTCGCTCAGTGGGCAGTAATGGTGTTTCGGTCACTCACTTGTCTAGTGATTTTCTTACTGGTCAGTGGTGGTAGCTCGGTCACCCAGTCATCTAGAGATTCCGCTCGGTGATAGTGATAGTGGTAGTGATTCGGTGATAGTGTTTCGGTCACTCACTCGTCCAGTGATTTTTCGTATTGATTTTATATTTGATATTTTTGCATTTTATATCGGTTGATTTTAAACGTGTTTCGAGCTCGGCAACACCGGCAGCAATGTTTGAATAACGCGAGTGTTTGAATAAGTACAATAATTTATTTATTTTTCGGTTTAATTAGTGTGATAATTATGTCAATTGGTATTCTGTATTGTATCTAGGCAAATATTTCTAAGTTTCAAGGTGACCTTTAAGATGGGTTGATCAATCTGGTCTTGATGCCGGCTTGATACCGGCTCGATATTTTCATAAAAAAGAACACATGCCGGCCACTTCTGAACTATCCCGGATCTAATGGCGTTGTCCGTTTTTCCAGAAGTTTTACGGTTATAGAGATCTCAAAACTATGGGGCGCCGCGCGTAGTATAGATCTTGTACTCAATAAGCATGCAAAATAAGCAAACAGTTCACTATCACCAGTAATTCATTAATTTTTCACTTTAGAGAACAATAGAATTCGACGTATCTGAACAAAACTGCGTATGTACTGCAAGACCAACTTATTAACAGTTATAACTGCCATGCAGCCGAAGTAGAACGCAAAAGCTTACTTTGAAATGATCACACCTATACCCTCACTACCGATTCCTTTCCTGGTGGTTAAACTAAGTACTCGTATTTTTAGAAGCATAACGCTCAGTGGGTACTATCGGGTTGTGCGTTTTACTAGTATTACCGAGATCGTGCACCGGTTCACACACAAAGATTCGGGGCCCAACTAAATTTCATCCACAACCTTTTCGTCATCTCTGCGACTGCTCGTCATTCTCATCCTCTTCCTCGTCTTCCGGACGTCGTCGTCTATGATGATGGTTGTGTTTATAGAGAACGATACCTCCGATTAGCAGCAAAATGGCCTGTTAAAGTCATAAATGCAGTGCAAACCAAGATCCTCGTCGCACGACTGTAACATACCGCAACAACGACAGTGGCGATAATAACAATCACGTTTGGTCCACTCTCTACGAAAAGTCATAGTGTTCGTATGTGGGTTTGTGTTAGTGTGACAGATAACAGTAAATGACCTGCCTTTTGATCCAGCCGCATTGCTGCTCCCATTTGTCGAACCACCTTTGCCGGCTGAGGTGGGGCTTTGTCCACTAGCCGCCACTTCGTCTCCAGATTCTTTGTTACCAGCAACGGATTGTAGAGCCGGGTTGTCCGCACTGTTCGAAGCACTGCCTGTACTGCCTGACCCACTGCTTGGCATAACGGGCGATAGTGAAGATCCAGCTGGTATTGGCTTTTTCTGTGCATAGAATATGTATCACCACTATGTCAGCCTCTCGATGGAATTGAGATTTACGTATCAGTGAAATCCCAAGGTTTACGTATCAGGTTTACGTATCAGTGATACTTAATATATCAAGCTCTTATAAAAAAAATTGTTTTAATTCGGTTATCGTTTTAACCTACGTAAAACGTTTGTAAAATGTAAACAAAACTGTTTCCCGCAACAGACTTAGAAAATGCAGTTACAGTGGCCACTCGATCACAGATTATTACTGGTAAGTATTTATGAGTTGTGGACTCACAGTCTCACACGAATGATAACAAAACTGAAAACGAGTGCAAACTAACACATAATAAAATGTTATAAGACATACGATCATATTTGGTAATCAGCTTTAAAATTATTAAAGCGCGCGAATAACCATCAGGCAAATGATATGTCTTTCACTACAACAGGATACAATATTAATATAAAAAAGAAGGGTACCCTTAAAGGCACCCCTTTTCACACCCCGTTTGTTATAGGTACCCTTTTTAAATTAACGGGTATAATAATACTGTAATATATTATGTGAACGGAATATTATTTTCATATTCCAAAAAATATTTTATACAGTTGCTATCACCGTAAAACTATGGACAAAAGGTCAGTGTAATAAAGTTATACACACATATGTATCGGTAATTTTGTTGTATCAGTATCAGTGTCCAGCTTCAGTTGCCGGGGTCCAATCAATGCGGCCCGATGACGTGTTCCTACATTGCTGAACTGATTTCTGGAGTATCGCCGCTGACACTATATTCCCAAAAGCCTCAGGATTCACAAAAGCTTCAGCTCAAAGGGAATGATTGGCAGAAGTGTTGCAGGCTAAGAAATCACACGGTGTCCTAAAGGGCTTGGAAGGAAGCCGGTGAATGAGCTGGCAACCGCGAAAGATGACCTTCTGGTCGCAGTAGAAGGCACGATACTAATTCGTTCTAGGCTTGTTTGCCTAACCGGCCTTTTATAGGCTGGAAAGCCTGATGTACATACTTTACTCGACGCTAGAAAAAATTGTACTATTATCCGAAGAAAACTGCATTACTATTTGAGAATACTGAATCTGTCATATATATATATATTAACTTAAAAGGGTGCCTATAATAAACGGGGTGTGAAAAGGGTGCCTGTAATAAACGGCGATTTTAGGGGGTTCCTATAACGGTTTCCAAAAAAAGAAATGATCAGTTCAGCAAACAGGTTAAAACCAGTTTGTAATCAGAGGTTACTCGTAATGGTTTGAGACCCATAACTGGTCTACCTGATTGTCTGGTAAATTCGTGTTGTCGACGGCGATGCCAATCGCTGCTAGGCTGAAATTATTGCAATACGACCCACGGCAGATGCAGGAGTAGCTTCTGTCTCCCTTAACCATTTCAGTATAACAAAATAACGGTTGTGCATCTGAAAAAACGGGCGGGCCGGTATCATAAATCGCAATAATGCAGCGTCGGGAAATCGGTATTTTGTTATTCTTGTTTCTTCTGTCCATATAGTAAAAAATTCCACAATAGTACACTCTTCCGACATAGAATGGACATGCCTCCTTTGCTGTGCTGGGTAAGTTTCCACCTGGTTCACAAGCATTGAAAACGTTTGGATCATTGGCAAGCTTTAACAACTCTGGCTCTTTAATAGTTTCGTTGGTAGTACAAAACCAGCAGTCCAGTCCTGAAACACCTGTTAAGGAGATCAGCGAATAAGAAGATCGGTAAAAGTATTTTCTTACCGAAAACACATATTATCGATCAGATCCACCTAAGACATACTCGATCTGGAAGGCTAAGTGAACAAAATTCCCGATGCCTGCCGAGTCTGCAAACGCAGTGCGCTGAAACGAACTGCGAGGTTTACGAAACTACAACTATAATTATACTATAGTACTATATTTTTTATTTGTATATTGTTTCATTCGACAGTTTGGACTGACTCGGCACATTGACGATGAAGAGTTAAAACCGTAAAAGATTTCTTAGATTTGACACCTCTGACAGTCTGTGTCAAATTACGGCAGTATTACAACATTTTCAATGAAAACCAGCAAAAACTTTATTATGAAATGTTGCGAAGTGACGCGACAACACTGAACGACCGAGCGGCCATAATGGTTATTTACGAACATGATGAGGATGAGCAGTCAACATTCCGCAGAAGGTATAGTTACCTTGATGGACCGCCACCGGGATGAGCATGAGTAACCGCACATTAATTGCCCGCAAAAGTGCCATTAAATACAGAATGGAAAATCACCAAAATTCTTAAAAAATTGCTATGCTATGATATGCCGAGTTAAATTCGTGAGACACTCCTAAGTAAGCAGCCAATTACCCTTAATAATCCAAATTATACCAAACCGTACTTCGTGATAGTATGGTTATTTATAAAACATGAATAATACTGTGTACGTATTAAAACACTATTAAAAATTAAACTTTATTAAACATGAAGTACGGAATCTATTTCGTATGTACTTATCATAAAGTGAGCACCGTCATGATGCAAAAGGTTTTTCACCTTACTGTTTTTTCTTATGTTTGTTATTGATATTTCCGTCACGTAACCTGTCTCTACGCAACTGGTAGGTACATCTGACATAATACACGCAACGCGTGTACTACTACCAGCCTGACCGCAGTCAGCAGAGAAGGAACTCTGGAGATTGGTGTTGCCTTGTTGCATACTTCCGTAAGCAACAGTTCCACAAACATGATCTTACCACCTCACTACCACAATACAGGGATGCCAATACGTCCTCACCAGTACAACAGGGAACATACGTCATCGGTACATGATCCCAATTATGTCAATACAAATGATTTCAAGGGATAAGATCTATAATTATTACAAACACACCCCGTAACCTTTGGATAGATCAAACCAACCCGCAAAAACACAACTGCTTATATTAATGCCACCGGATTCTGCATATCGGAAACTGTAGGAAGCTTCGAACTCAACGTGACTTCGAAGAAGCTATCAAACCACGGTTGCCAGATAATATTCATTAAAACCATATTGATTTATTCTCAAGTAAAAACTAATTCGATAGCTTGCCAACATTGTTAACGTAGGTATCAATACAATAGGAGAAGTAAGACCTTGTCCCGAATTCGAAGCGAATCTTTATCTATGAATCTATATTTACTATGTTGTACAGTAACTATGCGCCCTACTGAGCCCAACTAAATCTAACTGCAGCCTCGAGGAGGTTTCTAATTTTGATTTCTAACAGCACGATTTCTAACAGAATTCTGTAATATTGACTGAAAGTAGTCGAGTTTTTGCTGTACATACAGAATTCCAAATATAATGAAAATTATGTGTTCATTGTTGAATTAATTTCAAATAAAGCTCCTTATCCAGGATGAAACGGTCGGTCTGTTTAGTGGCAGTGATAACACCAATGCCGGCAATGGCTTTATGAAAATAAGACGTTTAATTTGAGGGCTTTGAAATTGACACTTTTGTTATCGAAAATAATATAGTACATGAATAGGAGCATAGTACATGAACAGTATCGTACATGAACAGGAAAATAGTAAAGCAAAAAATTTTTGGATAAAAATAATTAGCTACACTTTTGCTACCTAATCTTTTCCTATACAAAAATTGTCCTTTTTGAAAATATAATTGATTTTCCATTCTAACTGATCCCGTTGATAGAGGTTCAGAGCTCGAAAACCGTAGGAGCAATCTTTTTGAAGCCTATTGGCTGCACTTTAAAGACATAATTTAAAATATTTTTCAGGTGAAATACTATAAAGCCGATCACCTGGTGAACCACAGTAACAAAGATAAGCTCTTTTTTCTAGTCCGGGTTCTGAGTTCCAGATTCGGAATAAATTATCATTACAATTTAATCTGGGTCTGGAAAAACACGCTCATACCCTGAGTGCACTTAAGCGGTACGACATTGTTCGTATCTAATAAAGCAGCACTTTCCATAAAACCGATTTTCATGATGATTTAAGACTCATTAGTATCTAAATTTTTCAAATCACGAATTTTACAGTTCGCATAAAACACATTATTACAAATCAAAATAATTAGCGCTTCATAAACCTATTTACCTCATCATTACTTACTTCATTTTCTTCCTACTACAATTACCCTCAATTTGCATTTTACGTTTTTTTCTATATTCACGCATGTATTCACGCATATTTCTTCCGATTAGAATCACCTTCCATTATTTTATTAAGGATAACCATACTTAAAATTTAACGCAGATTTCTGTGCAAGAAAACTTACTAACCCATACTGAAGCTAAGAAAACGTACCAAAGCCAAACAAAACACGGCAGCCTGAATCAGCACTGTTCCAAAATCCAAACCGACTACCACAAAATAACCAACAGAATAAAAATCTTCTTCACTGCATACTTCTTCAAATCCATAATAGCTCACACGCAACTTCTGCTTATTTCGGAATTCCTTATATACCCACCGAACTAAAAAAATCGAGTCAACAAACCGAATTACCCTAACATTTTCTCGAACAACTTTTTAATGTACATCGCAACCTACTTCCCATATGAAAACCACCTGTCACTAAACATCCATAACCATCAGATCAGAACATTATAGTCTGCTCCATTAAGCAATCAACTTTCTTGAACTTTCATGAATTTTCCACAGTAATCCATCACCATCCACCACCACAACTCATAATACACAACACACTCCGCTTCCTGTTACACTTCATTAAACTATGAAGTATGAACAACCAATAAGTCGAATACACTTATGTCAGACTACAGTAAAACCCCCTACAACCTTCCCGCTATTACAACATTCACCCCTTCATTATCAGTTTTTTTCAAACATATCATCTTTTAATATAATCTACTATCTTGTTAAATTTGTAACAGAGCAATTTCTGTTGATATTGTCTTTACTACCCGATACTTGTATCTAATATTAGTGAGGCGGCGAAACAGGTGTAAGTTGATGGTTTGGAGTCGAAAGTCGATCGAACGGCTCGAACTGTGACTAATGATAGAAGTGCGCAAGCGCAATATGCCACATAACGGCCAAAATCGCAACCAATCAGAAGACGGTATGTTGGCGTGGACCGCGTGATAACGGTTCTGCCAGACTGGTTAAATTTTGATGTTGCTAAAATTCAAATTTGACAATAAAATTTTTATAAGGTGGAAAAAACATCCCAGTAGGAAAAAACAGAAAAAAGTCAAAGTTCGCTGTATTTTATCGAATTATATCGTTAGCTTCGACTGTAAAACTAAGAGTGAATCTTGAAATTCACTATGGCGATCGCGATTCTTAATCGTGCATTATCGAAATGGTAGGTGAATTTACGGACTCACGAGTTAGAAAACCGACAAATGCAATGCTATAGCAAATGACACGCCGTGGGATCGCTTTCGCTATTGCGATCACATTCGCGATCGCACACCTACCGGTGTCCAGAAATCAAAAGTGTAATGGCAACTGTACCGGAACCGGAAACAGCACTGTCGACATTTATCGAAATGAAGAACGCTGGTTTTTTTCTCCACTTCAGTGCGCAGTAAATTTCACCTGATTTATTAACTTTTACTCGCAGCGTATTTTTTTTATTATGGCCGTTAGGCTGCTGAAAAAAAACTTTCTCGCAATAAATAGCAACCTGAAAGGCTGCAACTATTTGTAACTGATACTGCAAAACATAGGTCTACTGCTAACTGGTGCTGCAATGTTAAATAAGGTTACTTCTCAGCTAACGGAAAAAATGTCGCAGGATTACTGTACCCATTGATTACTAGGAACTGTTACAACTTACTATCGGAATAAAACTAAGTCTGTTTGATCTTAAATTTTTGTATGTTGATACGCAAAAACCGCTGGAAACCCCAGATAGCACGTTTTCTACGCAGCTATCTAGCAACGTAGAAATAGCATGTCCCATGACACATCCTATAGCAGATTTTACGGACACTGGAGATTTGGCATGGCGATCGCACATGCTATCACTGCGATAGCGAAAAAATTTCGCTATGGTATTTACGGACACGACTACGTGCGATCACAGTAGCACGATTTACGGACTCGCGGAATACAATTGCTGCTGCAATCACCATCGTACATGTCATGGTAGACCATTTCAGGACGATCTCGTGTGCTATTCGTACTATCGCGATCGTCGTAGTAAATTTCAAGACTCACTCTAAATATCTTGCAATGGAAAACCTGCTGTGCGCGAGGGAAATCTTCGAATTGGAATTTAAAAAAAGTATTTGACTAGCTAGCTAACTAGTATTAACAAAACAAAAGAACTTCGAACGCCATTCAACGGTTGTAATTTGGCAATAGTGCAGCGTTTGCGCACTTCTACCAGTAGCCACAGTTCAAGCCGTTCGATCGACTTTCGACTCCAAACCATCAACTTACACCTGTTTCGCCGCCTCACTATTATACTCTTATAATGTGCTTCTACAATATGTTCCTGCAATATGCTCCTACATTACTATAATTATAGTATGCTCCAACCATTATTTCACACCACAATCCCGTTTTTGTGCTCCAACAGACGGATCATTCAATCTCATTTTTAGGTTACTGCTATTATGTTATCTTAAAATCTACAAATACTGTACCCAATACTGAGAATCAGTTTTAATAACAAAAATAACTAATAACGACAACCAAAAAAGATGCCGAGTTAACAACGCCATCAACAAATTTCACGCATCGTTACTCGGCCAAAACATTACTCATGTCACACATCACTTGTACTTCCTACCGCTTCCTTCAACCGGCCGGACCCTTCCATACTCTACGGGCGTTAAAATTTACTTTTGTTTACACACGGATATCGAAGACCAAAAACTGAAATTACAGTTTCATATATGCTACGACTGATCCCCATCGTATACCGCAAATATGAACCTGTCACAATTCAGTGAACCTGCCGCACTGAACCAGTTTCATATGTGCTACGACTGATCCCCATCGTATACCGCATATATGAGCCTGTCCAGTGAACCTGCCGCAAAAAAAACAAAAACCATTTTGCTGCACCCGTCCGAGTGCTTTATGGTATGTAGTATGTACATAAGTAAGATGTGCAGGAGGTAAAAAAAATTGGAGGATATTAAATCTAACAGACGGCACCTCTACACAGTGGCAACTGGTCTCATAAGGATGCAAAAGAATGCATATGTAATTAACTGTCGTGTAATTCAATAAGTAAAGGGCGTTTACCTTTGTCGAACCACTTCCCTGACCACGACACAATCAGTAGAACACTCTTGAAATCTCAAACTGGTAAGAAAGTAGTAGATGGTAGAAGTAGAAGTCGAAGTCGAAGACCGGAACCTGAAATCCCTGCTGCGAACACGAAAAATACACAAAGATACGAGTATACTTACCTGACCTCACGCTAGATGTTAGCAGAAACGGTAAGGGCAATATCCATCAACCTGGCGCTACAGGGCATGAAGACGAAGAGACCGAAAGGTCAACGGATGCAAGCGAGAGCTAAAGGTCACCAGTAATCTTACTGCGAGACTACCAGTCAAGGGTAATGCACGCCAGCAACGTAGAGGAGAAACACAGACGTAGGCGACTGAAAGGTCACCAAGGGGTCTGGAAGCGAAGTTCACTGCAAAAGTGATTACCAGAGCAATCGTGAAGTTAATCACATCGAGAACAAGTCTCTAATTGTTGGATTCAATAACACTTGACTTTACACTGGGCGACGAGCGCCTTATATTGCCCTGGGCAGACGCAGGTGTGGCTCGTATCGTGCAAACGGGTAACGAAGAACAATAGGGATTTACAAACTAGCCAATACACTACGACAACATGACACGTGGACTAACCTAAGCAAAGGGTCAGCTGGTACATGATAACAATAGATTAAGCTACGTCAGTGTCACGCGGTCACGTCGAAATGGCAAGTCGCGGTCAAAGTTTTTTGCTGGAGGCTCGACTCGAACACGGGAAGGCTCGACTGGGAAGGCTCGACTCGAACACGGGGTGATGACTCGAATAGCTGTTGTAGTAAAGACTAAGCCTAAGCCTCGGGGTAGAAGTAGTAAAGTAGTAGTAAGATGTGTACTAACAATGAGGAACGCCAGTACACGTCATAACGCATTAATCTACCGGAGCGC